TCATGATTGTAGGCATTGCGATCAATAGATAATCTGAGTCTTCTCTCTCGCACCGGCCCACGCTGCGGCAGAAACTCCGCCACCTGTTTGAGAGGCGGGACGACGTGTTGAAAGAGTCAAGGCGATCCAGCACTGCATCGTCATTTACCACGCGGAAAGTTCTGGCAGGGAGAGAAGCTGTTTTATGGCACACCAATCCGGTCACATACATAGGCAGCGTACCGTCATGGATCATCACCACCATTCCACCCTCAGGCCGCTTCGCGAGCATTTGCAATGTCCATTGCATGGACGCAAAGCGAAGCACAGAGTGTGTCCCATGAGAGAAAAAGATGATGTCAAACCTCTCCTTGCTATTGTATGCAACCGGCATGGCACCGGTCAATGTAGGGAAAGCCATGTCAAGGGAAATTCGACGGATGTTGGGCGGACTTTCGAGGCAAGGTAGAGGAGACTCCGTCTTGGATGTGGAGTGAAGCCATTCTTCTAATATTGTAGCAGACGAATCTTCCGGTTCGATTGCAGTGTATCGCCAGACCTTCCGTCTCAGACGCGGGGAGAGATAGTGGAGGATGCTCTTCGGGCCGGGTCGAATCTCCAGCACCGAGACATGATCACGCGAGTCAAAAAGAGGGTTGAGCAGTTGAGTCAGATGAGTTGTGGTAAGGTACTGATCTGTTGGCGATTCCGTGTCCAAGGTCACCGATGCAGCCCTCTGCTCTGTGGCTGACGATGGCCCACCTGCCGATGAGGCCTTTGCAATGAGCGAACGAGAAAGATTGTCAATGTTAAAATTGAGGTCAGACATGGCAACGTGGCTCAGTGCCTCTTGATGGGATGCTTCGGTTTGAGTTCCACGATCAGGGTGTCTTTGTCTGTGTATCGGTGTGGCTGACTTCTGAGATGAGCCGCTGATGGACAAGGAAATCAGATTGAGGGTTAAGATAGAAGTGTTGATGAAGAAAGTCAATGAAAGGGGATGAAGAAAGTTGAAGAGAAAAGAGAAGAAGAAGTTGGAGGGAGAGAAGGAGGGGTGTTGTTGGTTTTGTAGGCAGGCCGGTGAATGAAGAGCAAACGGCGCGCGGGGCTGGGGGGTGGCCTATCGTTTCATGATCCCAACTCATATCATTCACTCACATCATGAATACTGTTATCCTACTGTGTTACTCGGAAGGTTTTGACATTTCGGCAATTCTGGTATGTGTTTGTCCTAAATGGGCATCGGTGGAAGGATAAGGAGACTCAACCACTGTTTTATGAGGCCAAACAGGTACCAGGCATTCTGGTCAAGTTGGAATACCATGCCACAGTAAGTATAGATTGGCTCCTCGAAGTCATGAGCTCGAAATGAGGCACCCTGATCAGTCTAGGAGAGAATTACATGGTAATATCACAGCAGACCCACCGTGAGGAAGAAAGTAACACCTACCCTGCTCAAGCGTTTGATAACCTTCGACCATTTCAACGTCCCGGGGAGGGTCTCGTGACTCATTCAAGACAGCAAGCTAGAGGAGAGGAAGGTAACTTCCTCATCAAGTAAGAGCTTCATCGTGTAATCGCCTAGCGGACGGGATGGAGCAACAGTCTCTTACCAGTCACCACCACGCCGTTCACACTGGCAACACCCGCTGGCAGCCATTTTGGACATAAATCACGACTAGTAGAATAACAGAGTACCCCTTTACAATCTACACCAGAGCTTTCTTCATTCTAGCTACAAACTGAAAGCTGAGATGATAAGGCTGTCTGCAGCTTTTCCAGGAATCGGTGGGAATTGCGAATCACCGAGGGTATTTATTCATGCTAACGGGCTTGGGTCCGCGGTTTCGGGATATAGCCAGGCTCTTACTGATACTCTGCCACCAGAAGGATCGTGGCACTTATTCCCAGTGTGGGAGGTAGTCGCAGTCCTGTGACAATTATGACTTGGGCCACTGGGGTCTAACGAGGGTGTTCCTTGAACTCACATGACACATGCGTCTGCATTGGAGAGACCCCCCCCTACAGGTCAGATATGCATTTCTTCATCCATTAATTTCTTCGACCTCTGGGCTATGGATCGGATGGTGAGGCTTGTCTTTGTAAAAAGTGTCTCTAAACATTCACTGTGGACTGGTGGGCCCCGCTATCTGCGACAGACACCTCGGGTGATGATACTCCAAGTAAGGTATCAAGTCCATAGCCTTATATCTTGGCCCGCTCACGCTCCCATACCAGTGGGGTACGATTTGAGACTGCAGTGGCGTCGATCTACACAACCATCCGGAAAGATAGTTGGGTAGCTCTGAGGTTCAGGGTGATATGCAGCAGCGCAACCTCATCACCACCACCATCCACCCAAACCACCCAAGAAACACAATCAGATAAGATCATCCCCCCCCCCTATCATCCCACATGGCCCCCGATCAATGTCTCACCGCGTCCCAACCAACACGTCCAAGCGGAGCCTCAGCCCTAAAAGTGGCTTTTCGCGATCGGTTGACATCTCGACGGAGGACGCACGGTGATTAATTGGTGGGTGGGCGAGTCGCGGTGCGAGTAACACGCTCCTTGTTTCAGCCTTAGGAGTGGATTTTCGTGATTGTTTTTGCATCTCGGTGGTTGGGTGGGTGATTGGGGTTATTGTGGGTAGTGGTGGGGGTGGTGGGATGTTGGCTTGGGGGGGGGGGTTGTGGAGGGTGTTGTAGTTGTAATGATAGCTTGGATTGTGGGCTTGTGGGCTTGTGAGGGGATTATATAGGGGAGTAGAGGGAGGGCGGAGCCGGTGTTGAGGCTCTGATGCTAAAGGTGAGTTTCATGGTGAATTGAGGATTCGCGTGGGATGCGTGGACTTGGTTTGTTGAGGTAGGCGGGGGTGCTTGTCTAATGGGCGGTGGCTTTTCACCTGTATGGGGTATCTACTCATATCAGCGGGCCTTGTCCTTCTCACTACCTAGAGAATGAGTCCAAGGGAATGAGACATAGACCAGAGTATGAGCTCTCAAATTGGAATGAAAGGATCCAAGGCAGCCCACACCGCGAAATACCCCAGATGTAAAGACAACAGGCCCTCAACCATCTATTCTAACATTAAATCACATTCAGCTCATACATCATACTACATAAATCATACCTCACGAAGCCAGCACCAAAGCTCCAAGCCCCAGGAGCAATGGCAGGCTATACAGCGACATGCTCAATAAACCGCCCTCTACCTGCATCACTCTCCGTTCGGATGCTAGCGGCGTCGCCCTGCTCCCGAGAGTGCACCTGGTCCGCCGCCACGAAAGCCGTCTCGCTCTTGTGGGAGCCGCTGTCGTACCCGCGCCAGCTATTGTTGCCGGCAGCCTGAGATCTGGTCTGCCGTAGCCGCAGGGCCGTGAGCAGAGGATTGCCCGGATGATAGGCGGAGTGGCCGTACAGGTGCTGGTTCTGGGAGGTGACGAAGAGCTGGCGGAAGGAGGCGACGCAGGAGATCATGATCGCTGATCCATGGTCAGTACTGCGAAACCACGCACCAGGAGTATATGGACACAAGCCATGCGGTGACAGAAACCTACCGGTGCCCATCTCAATGAAACTCCACATCCACAGCCAGGTCATATCCATGTTGTGGTCGAGGGCATGGTTGGTGACGACGCGGATAATGGCCACGGCCACGATGACCATGCTCGCGGCGAAAATGCCGAGAAGGAATAGTTTCTTCGTGAGGGAGATCCGGACATTCCAGACGATGAGGATGGGGATTGAGAGGACTGTGTCTGTTAGCGGATTGAGAAAGAAAGTGTTGGTTTATGAGTAGGTCTACCCACTGAGAAGATCGGTGATCACGTCGCCGGCGCAATTGGCCCAGAAGGTGCCGTTCTGCCAGCGGATGTGGTAGGGCTTGCTACATTGTTCTTATTCCTCATGTTAGAGAGGATGAAAGAGCGAGGAAGGCATGGTTCTCACCGAAGATAAACTCCACGCCTCCCAGGCTACATTGGTAGTCAATGTCTCCGACTGAAATCACCCAGACCGCCAGGGTGATGACGGAGACCACCCACCACCATCTGCGATGGGTCTGGATTTTGGATCCCAGCTTGTAGAAGAAAGTCAGGAAAGAGAACTTGACACACCAGAGCGTGGTGTAGAAAAGGACCATAAACGGGGCTTCGAATCGCATCAGCGCATTCAATCGTGGGACGACGCCCGGCGTCAAGGGCGTTTTGCCGGCGCTGAGCGCATACATCTCGTAGAGCACTGGGGATTCAATCCGCCAAACGATGCCAGTGATGACAGAAAGTATCCAGGCCAGGAGCACGAAAAAGTCGTCGACGAAGAGCCGTCGGAAGGTCTTCAGGCGGATGACGATGCGAGCGACGACGAAGATCGTCGAGGATGCGGTGAAAGTCCATAGGACTCCCTAGCGATGCTATCAGATGTATGAGTTCCGAAGCTAGCAGCAAGGCTACAAACCATGAAGACGGGCCTCGATACTTTGGCATCCTGAAGGCCTGTAAGTACGAATGCGGTTGACATGATGATCTTGGAAGCGCTGCTGGTATAGCAAGAAATACACACATGCTTGGAGACTGAGAGGTGCGGGGCAAAGCAGCTTAATATCGACGAACGAACACTATCTCCCACTCAAAGTTTCTGCTTCTGGTAGGAGTCTCTACAGTTCAAATCAAGATGAACCCCGCCGTCTTATGTGGGGGCGATGCAGCCGGTGCGACATCATCACACAAGAGGGCTGTGCTTCGCACCAAAGGTGTTATGCAGTGGTAGGTGCCTCCTGAGACAAGTCTCAAAGATAAGCAATGTGTCGGGCCAAATCCAAGGCTCTTGATATCCTGTTTCGGTATATAGGAAGTGCATGATGCTGTTTAATCGACGGTTGTTGGCTGCAGAACTGGATGAAATCCCAATTGGAGGCTGGATCAGGTGACGGCGGGAACCCCCCGCGCCCAAGCCCCAGGCACCAAGGCTTAGCATCTCACAGGATCCAGCCTTATCCGCAACTCACCTAACTTGATATCATTCATGCGATGTCTTATCAACATCCAATTATTGTTGGGGTGGAACTCACCATGAAAGGTGTAGCGAGAGTCACCACGCAGCCCACAAAGAAGAGAATCCTTCCACAGGATAGACCCAAGGCAGAGACAAAGAGGCCTTCAGGTGTATAAAACAGCTCTCTCCGTCATCATGTCTTACTTGCTATTTGGCACAAGATACATATGATCATAAATCATCCATGTTGTCAGGTATAAATCTCTTTTGTTTGCCAAAGATTCTCCATCACTCAACTCTAACGTACCCTGAAATTTCTGACTTCCAACTCCAACAATCACATGGAACCATCCAAGCACGCAACCAACGAGCCGAGGATTCCTTCAGTCGAGCCAAACAACACAGAGGCATCATCATCCAGCGCTGCATCCCAGACATCTGCTCCACCGACAGCACACTCAGTGTGCGAGGCAACGTCAAGCTCGGACACGTCTCCGGTGGAAAGTAGACCTCCATCCAAACGAGAGTCTGCAACAGCAGACCCAGCACCGCCCTGCCCCCAATTCAACCCGGAAGACTGGAGCGCCCCAATCGCCCACACCTACACCGGCACCACGGTCCTCAGCTTCCCCGACGACATGCACACCGTCACCAGCCAGGGCGCGCGATTCCTCACCCACATCTACACCTGCCCCGTCGGCGACCTCGACTGGGACAAAGCCATCGCCAACATGCTACAATGGTGTAGTTTCGAACAACACCGCCGTGCCCCCTCCTCGCAAGGCCACCCCCCACCAATCCACGGCCTCCTCAAATGCGCCCCCATCATCCAGGTCTTCACCTCCCTCCACCCCTCCACCTTCCCCACAGTCCCCCCAAAGCTCACAAGCACAGGCAAATTCGTCCGCTACCAACCGGCCCGGAAATCCCAGTTCCACATCCCGCACGACCTCCGCGAACTCCCGGAGCTTTATCACGGGATCATCCAGGACGAGGAGCCCGATGACTCGGTGGAGGATGTGCCGAACCTCTCGTGGCTGTTTGTCGAGCAGTACGCGCCCAAGAAGTGGCGGTGGTATTTGAATCGGCGGGCTGTGTGGGAGGCGACCAGGCCGAGGCTGTCGGAGGAGCAGATGGAGATTTGGTGAGGTGAGGGTCGCTTAGTGGACTTTCTGGTAGGTGGTAGGTAGGTCGTGTTTGTTGTTTCGAGGCTAGTTTGAGCATAGCTTGATAACTATTGTTAAGATCTAATGTTGATATCGGATGTAATCTTCGTCTGGCTAGGGCAATCAAGAATTCAGTTGGTCCGGGCTTGGCTAAGTTCTGGCTCTTGGCATGTACAGCATATAAAACCATCTCAACTCTCACGGTAAGAGAAAGTAAATGTGAGGATTACCATTAAAACGATTGCAGTGATTCCGAATTATCATCATGTTTTTCGTGGTTGCTACCAAGTGAAATCTTGCCCAGATACACTTGTGCTGCATGTAAGCATAGATAATGCATGCATATGTACTTACTGTACTGTACAGTTCTGCACAGCCCAGGAAGCTGTCAGATTATCCAATCGGTCCGTCCAAGAATAGACGTGCGGGCCGGAATTCAATGATATGAAGTCAATGCTGGAACAGTAGGTCAGCACTAATGAGCTTCGCCCTGGAAACCAAATACCTGCTTAACCGGTCGGTGCACTGACTGGGGTATGTCCCTGCCAAGGAAAGGGGGACGTTTCATCTTGTTGTTGGCTGTCACCCAGCCACACCATCATCAAACGATACAGAGCAATAGAAAGTGACAGGTGAGTTATTTGCTGGGATCATCGTCGCTTGGTTTGTGACTCCGATATAATCAAGTCTAGACTGGAATATGTACAATACATGCAGGGCAGCGCCCCCACACTTCAACAAGTACCTGTGTGGCACCTGTGTAAATCATCGCTATGCTAACCAGAGAGTAAAGACCCGCACTCATGTCATCCGGGGCTGGAATTTGGGATTTGTCCGAATCCTCTCCCCGTAATTCAGCAAGAACAGAGAGGTGGGCGCAAACGCGACAGCGATGAACGCCAGCACGCTGTTGCCCCAACCCAGGCCGAGCCTGTCATACAGCGGACCCCCGCCCAACGGGATCGTCGCCCCGAAGATCGAGCGCAGCGCGAGCTCCGCGGACACCGCGCTGGCGGCATACAGCGTATACGAGTCGATCAGATACACCTGCGTCACCAGGTGGACGTAGTAAATTCCCGCGCCCACGAAGAAGGTCCCGACAATCGGGACCATGTAGTGCAGTCGATACTCGGCGGTCCAGCCGTACCAAAACAGTCCGATCGGGACCAGACAGCATCCCAGCACGAGGGGCGGGAGGCGGTCCTCGGGCTTCATCTTCCCGTGGAGCTTCTCCTGCTTCTTGAGATAGCGGTCGGAGTAATATCCGACCGTCACCTGTCCGAAGCAGAAGCCCAGCCCCAGTCCCAGATAGGCGAGTCCGGCTTCGCCGGGGCCGAAGCCGTAGACGTTTTCGAACACCTCGGTAAATGTAGTAAAGAGAATGTACATGTAGCTGTAGGTGACGGAGCTGTACAATGTCACGATTAACACGATAGGCGACAGCACGAGGAATTTGATTGGCCGTGTCAATGAGACCCGGATAAGCTGTCCAGCAGTCTTGTCGGTGTCGTACTTCGTCTTGTAAGAACGGCCGGTCTCTTTGTGCAGCTTCATCGCCTTCCGCTGCAGAATTGTAGGAGCGTATGTCTCGCGAAGTAGGATTAATGAGGCAATTGCGATGACCGCACCCTGGGCTTGTTAGATATGACTTCTGGGATCGAATCGAATCGACTTACCAAGATGACTTCCAGCCAGATTGTCCATCTCCATCCAATATTCTGAACCATGTAGCCACCATAGATAGGGCCGGTCACCATCCCCTATGATCAAGATTAGCTTTTGGCATCTATCGTTGTTAAAGTGGTTGCATACCATAAGTGGTCCCACTGTCCATATCGTCATCGCTGTTCCACGTTTCTCCATCGGCATCATATCGGCAACGAACCCTCCGCCGACAGTCACAGGCACCGAACTTGCGACGCCCATAATCAGACGCGACACGATAAGCATGGGCATGTTCACACTAGCTGCGCAGACTGCAGCCGCCACGGTGAAAAGAATGTTTGCCGTGTGTGTCATAGGCAGTCTCCCGGTCATCTCAGTGATGGGCGTCAGAATGATGGGGCCAATTGCAGCCCCCATGACATAGATCGTGGTCAAGAGGGACTGAATTGAGGAGCTGTTGATGTGAAACTCTTTCAGCACGTCTGGCACCGCGGGCGAAAATACTGTGGAGACCATCGAGCTGGATAGTGTCAGTCGTGTTTGTCCGTAGGCTGCATGGCAGGATAGAGACATACACGTTGAAACTGCTCGCGGAGATCAATCCTATAATGACCCATTTCCGCCAACTTGCCCAGTTCAGAGGATTCTGAGGGTCGTTAGGTCCATCCCAATAAACGTAGTCTTCACCCCCATCTTGAGAACAATCGCTACTGTCCACTGAGTAGATCGCCTCGGTTTCCACGTGAATGGCTTGCTTTTCACCCAAAATTGTGTCGGCGCTCTCAAGGCTGGACTCTAGCTTCAAGGCATGAGAGTACTCGAGGTTGCTTTGAGGGTCCTCCGGCATGATGACCACAGACAATCGAAGACAGTACGAAGAGAAAGATGCTGTGCATAATAACCTCAGCCATGGCTCAATGAGAACGGTCAGGGTAATAAATAATCTGATAGAAGTCTGAGAGAGCACAGTGCTTCAGACTGGTTGCAGCAGATCGGTGGGTAATCTCCTGGTTTGGAGGAGGCAACGCGCGTCCTCACAGCGGATCTCCCTGGTATGTGGCCCTTGCTGTGCAGTTGACTGGTTTTCTGGGGCTCCCCTCGGTGCCCTCTGACTTCCCCAGTCGCCGAACCTGCCCCGACTGGCCCGTTGGGTCTTGACATGGTGGTGGATACATGTGAATGGGACAATAGTGTCTGTCCACTACAAGAGCTGTATGACGACGGTCGTTGGCCCCTTGCATGATCACTCGTTCCATGCGTGTTATCGGGCAGGCTCACTCATTAGCTTTGGGCTTCCGATCCACTCGCAGCGAACCCCTGGGTAGCACACTGCGGTTGACTCCACCGATCTGCAGGGCCCTAACTGAGCTTGTGATCCCTTTTTTTCTTTTCGCTATGGCGAGGCTAAATTTCAGGGATCGATAATAACAGTAGAATCTGAAATCCTACTCCAAGTATTCTGGGGATATGTTTGTGTGTTGACGTGGCCACCCGCCGTGTCCGACCACGGGAATGCGAACAGATGCCGATTCATTAGGTGAAACCTGGCTATAATCAGAATTTGGGAGCTCTGATGGATGTCAACGCTCGAAGTTCACATATGAGGTGTTTCAACATAGCACAAAGTGTCGTGGCCAGCATCTAGTGACTTGATAACGCAATGAATTCATGGCCCAGCGCAACAATTGGCCGATATCTCTTTGGAGTTCGGAGTAGCAATATTCCCGAACCCTACGAGACCTGTGTAGTTATACGATGAGACGTCTCGATAGCCTTATGCCAGCCCAGAACACTTGTTGCAGCAGTTGACGCCAACATTCCATACCAGGATGCGCACATGGTGAGCTGAGTAGTGTGCAGGTGCGAATTGCAGATCAGGGACTCGGGAGTGGCAATCCGAACTATGATTCTACTCCGACTCAAGAAATGCTTGGTAGTACCGCACGGGCAGTATCCAATATTGCCAAGCTTTACCCAGCACTATTGGACGGCGCCCGGGAGATCCTCCCCGGGGGCAAAGTACCAACTGTCACTGACGGTCGCACCAGCAGCAACTTGGCTACTTTCAATTTGCCTAAGTCTGTGGTATGATGTATCTTGTATTTTTCTTTCTGGCGAACACTTCGACATGATCCTAGCGCCTGAGGTCTCACCGCATCGAGGACTGCTCCCAATCATGGCAGGTATAACGGATGAGCGTGATCTCCGAGATCCACCAGTCCGCCAATGTATGGACCCGATCTGCAGCCGGATCTGCAACTAAAAGGAGCTTCAGCCCCGAGAGGTTGAGCTTAACGGGTGAGGTCGGGTTGCCGGAGCCAGGGACACTGTTCTGGACCGAGGGGGCAAGGCAAGGTTCTCGAAGGCCTGGCTGCATGGGTGTATCCACCGAGGCAAAGGTCCCGCTCCCTGCGCAGGCTCAGTAGCGGACGCGTGGCGGCTAACGGGCTGGCGGAGGTGAGAAGCTTATTTCGAAGCTCTGGTGTCTCAATTTTGGGCCGCCCTGTTATTGTCCAACTCAGTCTTTCGATCGCGATACGATAACTTGAGAGGATTGCAAAAATTGCTCATACAAAATGGAGTCGTTTGATGTGGAGGTGTGTCAGCGTGGTTGGCATGGTGATGTTGGTGGATTGTGATCTCTTCTGCGTGAAGTCGAGACCGGGTGTGATGTGGGACTGATTGGAGTCAGAATCCATGAGATGTCCAAAAGACACAGTAATCGTTGGAGACGGTCAATCAAGCCGATGAGAGGCGATATCCTGGAAGTGGGTGGTAACTGGACTGACGGCGGAAGTGGCGCCGCAAGCCAGAAACTCCAACAAAACCCGTGACTTCCCTCAGTGGAAACCAACATGTTCAAATCATTGCGCGTTACATTTTCTCTTTGCGCTGGGAGCAAGGCAATGCAGAATCGCCTGAATTCTTGAGCTAAGGACATAGTGGTCTCATATGCCTCAGAGGATGGACTTCCGCTTCATTATGATCTTGCTTGTGCAGGGTCTGCATTCATGACCCCTCTATGATATTATACTGAAACCGTTTGCTGTTCAATGATCTATGTCTACGTCAACAAATTCTCTGCTCTATCGGTCAACGCCAAAGAAGCGCCAGTATTTTGCATTTTCCGATGCAGGGTCGAGCCATTCGAGTCCTCATCGTCACGGATCGCATGCAGCTTTCCAACGGAAAGCGGATGACAACATATGGGCTTAACACTCGGAGCCATGTTTCTTTTGCTGTTGGCAACCTGCCTTATGATCATGCAGCCTCTACTAATCAGGCGGCGCACATAACAGCTTGCAGGAAGGCCAGGATTCGCAAGTCGACAATGTGCAAAGGTCTTTCAGCATGGATGGCCATATCATCAAAGAACAAAGTTGCTGGCAAGGTCCATCTTGAATCTTTGAACAAAGAAATGACAGACCAGTCACAGGGCCAGTCACAAACCCCGGTCCCATTCTGTTTCCGCTGAGACACACTGTGAAAGACAATACACATTGTTGAAAGGACATATGTCCCAACCTGCGACATCATGTCCGATCTACCCGCATACAAGTCCTTTATACCGGTCTTTGTCCCACACCCAGGTTCAGCTTTTTCAAAGAAAGACATTTACTTCAAACCGCATCAACATGTCGCGATCCTCACCCAGACGTGCAGAGATTGCCCTAGAAGCACAGGATCAGCGGTCTTCAAAGAATGGCTGAAACACAGTGAGAGCAAGCTGTCAGCAAAAAGAAAGAGGGACAATGAAGCGACCCTTCTTCCAATGGTCTGCCAGAGCATTTCAAAAACGCAGAGATCGTCTGCTGAGTTCTGCCCTACAAAATCTTCGAAATTTTAGCAACCTTCTCTTGAGACCGCTACCTCTTGAACTTCCCCATTCCCCCAGAGGATTCAGAGCTTCGTCCTACGAACATCTCCAGAGTCTCAAGCCAGCGAGCCTCCAACACTGAACACTAATACACAGAAGCAAAACCAAACGCAAAATGTCAAATCCACAGCCTATACAACTTCCCACTCCTCCTCCTACACCACCGCGATCGCCGGTGCTGCCTCCAACGCCTCCTCCAACACCTCCGCCACCAGCGCCTCCAAACTCCCCTACATTTTCCATCTAATCGCTGCTCTGAACAATCTACAGAGTGGCCCCAGAGTCAGCAGAGAGCAAGGCTGGTCTTTAGTCCCATATGCAACAAAATTACACCTTTTTGGCTGGAACAACCGACCAGCTTGCATATGGACAACTGAGCTTTCTTTTCCACAGTCTCTGGAACTGCACTGGTGCCGGATACCAGAAGATTCACTTTCCTTGCTAACCGGGGTGGATGCACCATCCGCTCATGTGTTCTTGCGAGACACGCAGATATTCATTTAGGCGGGAATGAGGCAACGAGAAGGAGCAGGCTCTTGACCTGGATGATACGTTACTATCTGATCTGAAGTTGCTTATCTTCTGATGATCGCTGATTTCGGGATTCTTTCTCTACCCTCCTGCTTGCTGGTCTTGTCGGAAGTAAGATAGCTTTCATAATGTCGAATTTTAATGATTGGAATCAACATCGGTGTCTGCTCTCTGCCTTGTACATCCAAGGCTGATCCTCTTCCCTCGTACTGATTGAGTAGCTATCAAGACCCAGGGTGAGTTAGCATTCTCTGTACGAGTATATGGGTGGGAGCTCTTTTGAGATACGGTGGCCGTGGTGCGATGGCAGCTCTCAGAAAGAGAGCTATGCGTCCAAACTAGATATCTCAGCCATAGCAATATTACAAATAAATACTTGATGTATACAAACTAAACTTCCTTAGCTATTACCTCCTTCTACCTTAAGTCACTCTAACCCACCTTTTCTTCGCTACTGCAAGACACAACAATTTTATATAGCCTCACAAATATACTTCCACTTCTCCCCTCCCCGTCAGCCTCCAGCTCCCCAACCAGAGCCCTTTTACCTACCCCCTAAAAGCCAGCAATATAACGATGCTCCGCCGTCTCCTCCAACACCTCCAAGCGCATCCCCACCGCAATCTCCCCCTCATGCCGGGGCGCGCTCAACATCCCAAAGCACGGCTTATACTTCATACCCTCATCGACCCTGCGATACGCCATCAACGTATCCCAAGGCTGCTTCTTATGTTTCTCCGCCGAGGTCGGCTCGACGTTGGGGACCTGACACCGCGCACAGCGCGCCACGATATCCAGCTCCAAGCCTTTCCCAGCCGTCCTCCCCTCACCCTTTACACCCCCCTCACCACCCGCAGAAGCACAAGGAGAAGAGGAAGCAACAACCCGCACCGTCTTCCACGTATCCTCCTCCCACGCCACCCGCCCGCGCACCACCACATTCGGCCGGAACCGCTCCACCGTGATCGCCTCCTCCCCCTGCCGCAGCAGCCGCTCATTCAATTCATCCAGTGACGCCTCCGACGCGATCAGCACGGGATGCACGTCCGGGAAGTTCGTGGCTTGCTCGCGGCCCAGCAGCCGCGGCGCCCCGTTGCCCTGCAGGATGCGCGGGGTCGGGCCCTTGTAGACCAGCGCCACCTCGCGGCCGAGGAATTCGCTGATGGGCGCGTTGACTTCGGAGCTGTAGATGTAGCCGTCTGTCGTGGTGTCCCAGATTTTGATGTCCGATGCGAGCGTGGTGTTTTGGGCGAGCCAGGTTGGGGTTGGGTGCGCGGGGATGGTGATTGTCGTGGTTGCTGGTGCGGTAGGGGATGGGGATGTGGATGGGGCGGGGAGTGAGATGGTTAGGTTGAGGGGTGAGTTGTCTTGCGCTGTTTCGTCGGAGGTGGTGGTGGTGGTGCTGCTGCTGCTCAGGGCGGTGGTGATCAACGTCATGCGCGGGTTTGTGCGGATGGTGAGGAACTCGTGCGTCGCCGCGTCGACGATCATCCACCGTCGGTCGAGGTCGAGACCATGCTGAAGTAAAGTCGTGCGGGGGAGGGTGAGTCCACGGCAGGATTTGATGGGGTAGACTCGGAGGGCGACGATCTCGTGGGATTGTTTGGGGCGATGGCCGCGGCGGAGGGTGGTGAGGGTCGTCAGGGCGTGGGGCAGGTGAGTTGCGAGCCACGTCTTGAGACTGGGGAGGAACACAACTAGTGGAAGGACAATTATTGCGAGGAGGACTAGATCGGCCATTTTCAAAGGGAGTGATAAACTGCAAGCTATGAGATCATTATGCCTGAGTATGAGAAAGAAGAAAAGACAAAGGCGCGAGGGGGGAATGGTTAGAAGTATTTCGCGATAAGCGAGCAGAACCCGGAGATCCCGCGGAGAATCATCCTTATCGTGCTTATGTGAGGTCTGACTCATGCCGCCAATTACTAGCGCCTATTGTTCGCCAGCTTGATCCATTCCAATGGATATCCCATCAAAGGAGTCACTGCTGTGGATCTGGGTGGTGTCTGATCCGAGATAATCCGAGACACGGAAATCCGATTGTCATGCACCACAACGAGGTGAAATCTTCTTTGGATCCCTTGATTGCAGCTCAGCTCAAGCTTAGCACTAACTACAATTCTTCCTGCCCACGCCATGTCTGACCTTTCCACTGGATTTCCGACGGTGTCCACTGCATTATGAAAGTAGTAAAATTAGGCTATGCCAAATGCAATAATGCCTCCCAATGTGTCTAAAATGCTAGAAGCATGCGAATAACTCCGCCTAGGCCGGGCTGCTACCGCTGACCACCCAACTCGTCACCAGAGCCTTGATCAACGCAATGGCGGCGTCCTTGCCAGCTGCAATATGCTCATCAGTGCAGGAACCAGGAACGTGGAAGAAGACCACATTCCGATCCTGGCCCTCTTGGTAGGCCAGCGACAGACTCGAGTAGAAGATGAACTCGCAGAGGTATCGTCCCGCATCGTTCGAGATCCGAACGTCCGTGTCTGGACCGGCAAACGACTGCCACGCCATCAGGAAGTCGGTGTCGGGTGGATGAGCGTTGAGGTACTTCTTCGCCGATGGCACCGATGCACTTGCACGCCCCGCGGTGAGAACGGTAGGCAAGTCAAGCTCCCTCCATATACGCTCGCCGTCCTCGTAGCCCGATCGGCCTTTGATGTCGGACATGAGGTATGCGTCGCGGTGGGCCTGGGTCTCCACCGAGTAGTAGTTCCTTGTTGCCGCTATGCCCATGTGAATGATGATGTCCGGGCGTCGGCCATCGTGTGCCTTGGCGTACTCTTCCAGGATCACGGGCAGCGTCGTCCGCACGGTCGAGTAGGCAACTGGAATTGGAGAAGGATGGACATGGATTGAGACGCGACAAGGCGCTGAGTCGGGGGTGGTGGTGGTGGTGGTGGAGAATGTGAAGGAAGGAGGGAGCGATGAGGCGATTAGATAAGAAGCATTGACCAGGTTCGTTTTGAATGGCTAGGTAGAGAGCGACACATCAGACCGTGGTTGCGCGATAACAGGAGCAGGAGCTGAACCTACCCCAAAGCCTGTGACCAGCACAGAGATCTCATCGGGTTCAGTAGCGGTGGAAGGAGGGGTGGTTAGTGTTCGCGTCTCGAGCGATGTCGCTTCTTGTCCGTAGTCGCCCATGATAGTAGATGCGCCCCGACAATCAATGAGTGAATAGTGAATGGGTTAAAGAACAGGCCAGTCGGAAGTGTGTTCACTTCTCAGTGTATTTATCAGTTTCAGTGCTAGGATCACTTCCACTTAGAGACGGCAGAACTGCAAGCATCAAAGGAGGAGAAAGGCAAGAGGCAAGGTGGTCAGCAATTGAATTTCCAGAACCCTTAGCTTCTGTTTCCCCCGCATTCATGGCCGGTTTTGGGCAGCCAGTCTTGGCGTCACACGATAAGCACAAGAGTGGTGAGGGGACCTCCTCACTTAAACATGTTGGAGACGTTACCTCGGATCCTTCTGGAACGAACCTTATAGGTCTACATTCTATAATTGTCTGACATGGTACTCCGTATCTAGTAACTTGTAGTACTGGGCATACTATGATACCTTAGTAGACATGTCTCATGCGGGATTTGATCGGCAGGGTCGGATCGGGTCGTTTGGACCGGGATAAAGCTTAGATCCCGATCTTACAGTATGGTTTTAGATGGGATTGCAAGGGGCCCAACTCAGGCTCCAGGCAACGGCTGCTGGAATCGGCACATCACGGGCTTTGAAGCAGCAGCATAAAAGTGGAGATGCACCCATCATGTGTGATATCAATATGATCGGAAAGCGAGATCATTCGATCTTTTAATCTCATCTTTCTGGTATTTGACATGGCTAAACCCACCCTCATCTTCGCCCCGGGCGCCTGGTATCCTCCTACAGCGTTCGACCCCGTCATTGAAAAGCTGCCAGGCTATCGCTGTCACACTGTTGCCTTTCCATCCATACAACAGGCAACCACGGTTCAAGATCTCCATTCGGACATCAACGTTGTCCGGAGTCTCGTGCAGCAAGAGGCTGAAAAGGGCCACGATCTTATCGTGGTCTCACACAGCTGGTCCGGCCTGCCTGTGAACAGTGCACTGGACGGACTGGGCAAAGCGGAGCGTGAAGCAGCTGGCAAGTCTGGCGGAGTACTTAAGCTGGTTTTCCTTGCAGCCTTTCTGCCTGAAGTCGGTGAAAGCCTACTGGGAGCTATTGGTGGACAAGCTCCCGAATGGTATATCCGTGATGTGCGTGATTTGGCTCGAACGCAAGAAGTGTGACTGTGCATACTAAAGTGATTCTCCAGGAGACTACCAACACCATCACCGTGAGAGATCCCGTCCAGGTTTTATTCCATGACGTTTCGGATGGTGGATCATGGGCGCAGTCTTTACGGCCTCATGCTTATGTTACTCACACAACACCCGCGACCAGTGCAGCTTACTTGCACATCCCATGCAGCTATCTGCTCTGCGAGGACGATCGAGCTATTCCTCTGTTTGTGCAAGAAATGATGATAGAGAAGGCCCGGGCCAAGGGCGCTCAGTTTGAAACCGAGAAGGTCAAGACGGCGCATACGCCGTGGTTGGCAAACCCTGACATGGTAGCTGCATATCTTAGGCGACAAGCAGGGGAGATAGCCTGAGCGGGAAGATGATCTATTGCAGGGCCTTATCTTTCATGATCCGTATGTATTACGGCATTATTCAATAAAGGCCCCCAAGCCGACCAGGATGGAGGCACTAATGCGTGGTTGGGTCATATCTGACTATCTGACTATGGAAACTTCTATTTCTATCTTTGCAACTACGTCACTTCTGTCAGGTACAGTACATGCCCCGGAGTAGTCACATCAAAGCTGCGCAAACATCGATCTGTGCGTAATTCGTCGATTCGTCGATATAAGCAGAGACAAACACGTTTTTCTCGCCTTCAGAAGCGATACGCTTGACCTGAAACAACCAGCCCGTACTCGAACCTAATGTCAGGGATAAAGAGCCTCGGCGTCGGAATTGGTTGACAATAATGGCAGCAGCAGTGGAAGTGACCGGGTGCAGCTCCGGACTGGGGCTGACCATACCGAAACCCCATCAAATACCATTCTCATGGATTTCATTGATCCACCAGCCGCAAAGCGGAGAACCTCCCGGGGGTAATTACCCCTAGTACCTTACCTTTTAGTACAACCTACTTGTCTGCCGCAATTTCCCAAGGCTATGGCTGGCTAGCAAGGACCAAGAATCTGAACTGAACTGAATCTGTAGGGTTTGGTGGAAGGTAACTTACTTCGTACAGTAGAAGGAGATGAAGGTTAGGGATTTGGGGCTCGAGGATTTCGGGACGCTGTATAGACACGAGAAGAAAAAAAAAAAAAAAAAAAAAAAAAACTACGATTTCTAAAAATTGTTTTCTTTCAACTTTGCTTGCAACCTTGCAGACTAGTTGTTGTTACATTTTCGTGGCCACTCCTCCCGTTATCGGTTCCTCCGCCCGCACAAACTCTGCAGCAGGTCTTGATCTCTCTCAGCCTGTTGCTCTTCTCTCCTCTTCCCTTGTACGCGTACCTGCAAATTTCCATGTCCGAGTAGCTTCACAGTTCCCCCAACTGTCCCCCTCTACAAGTTTACCCGAGTCTTTCCCCTGCGGAGCTTCCTTCAAAGTAAGCTACCTGTGCTTCATTTACTATGATCGCCTCCGGATCGAGCTTCTGGAATCGCAGTCCGAGGCTTATCGTCCGCATTGAGCTAAAAACTGATCCCCACTCTTTCTTTCTCTAGGCCTTCCCGCGTATTTCCTACCCCTCGATTTATCCCGAATTCTACTACCTTTGCGCAGCTCAGCCCCCAGTTCCGGTTTTTGGCCTACCTGCATCCTCGGTCATCCTGTCGCTTGTCGATCGCACTTTTCCCACACTGTCAATCCTCTACTCAAGTTTCACCATTTCATCGCCTGGCGCGCCTACCCCGGCTCGCAACCATGTCCGACGAGTCCAACCACTATGAAGAACCCGTCAACGGGCTCCGGCCGTTGTCCAACGCAGACTCGTTTTCCCTTCCCGCCACCGCGCGCGAGCTGTCCAACCATTCAGAGCGGGTAGAGGCTGCTCGGGCCAATGGCCTTCCCTTGGAAGATGCTGACATCGATGACGAGGATGAGGAAGAGGGCGAAGAGGAGGTCGACGGGGAGTATGTCTCGGTGGACCACGACGATGTCGAATACCCTTACTGGTTTCGCCGCCCGCCTGTGCACCAGCGCACCAAGTTGGACGAACTGCACCCCTTCGTGCAGGTTCTTACGGAGTCGAATGTCGAGGACTGTGTTCAGGTCGAGGAGGCCTTCCCCCAACACGAGCGCTGTACAAGCGAGAAGGTACATCTCCCCGTTGCTTACATCATGAAAGCCGATACGCTACTCCGATGACTGACGCAATTTGTAGTTCCGCTACCGTTTGAGCCGGTGTCCTGAACTCTGTCTCGGTCTCTTCACTCTCCCCATCCTTCGCGAGGGCGAACCCAAGCCCCGCCCCACTCTAGTCGGCCATGTTATTGCCACGAGAACTTCGAGCCCCGTGGTGACGGACAAGTCGATGGCGATGCCGGCCAACTGGCAGACCGAGCGCATGACCGTGGAGAATGGCGAGACTGTGGGCCATGATGAGTACGGTAGCACAATCGCCATTCACTCGCTCGCCGTGCTGCCCGAGCATCAGGGCAAGACGGTCGGCAGCACCCTTATGAAGTCTTATATCCAGCGCATCAAGGATGCGCAGATCGCCGACCGCCTTGCGATTATCGCGCACGGTCATCTGATTCCTTACTATGAATCGTTTGGCTTTGAGAACCGCGGACCTAGCAAGTGTCAGTTCGGCGGTGGTGGCTGGGTGGACTTGGTAAGTGTTATGGTCTTCTGCTTTTGTTTCTGGACTAACAGGTTGCCGGTGCAGGTGTTTGATTTCACCCAGGATTTCGCCCGGGAGTGAAGTACCCGTGCTCGGGCTGTTTCTTATGATGATGATCTAGTGGTGGACGGCCGTGCGATTTTCCCTTTTATGATTTCTTGACTCAACCTTTTCGTACCCATTCCCTCGATGACGGTTTGATGCATCTTTATGGCTTGATTAAACGGGATTTTCAGTCTTCCTGGTGGGTTTCTGATAAAAGCAAGGCGTTCTGTCGGGCTACGACGGGGGGTTCAGGGACGGGGATGATGACGATACGATGGCCGGATTGAAACACCGTGGGGTGGTTTTGTCAGGACACGCATGTTGATGTATCATATTCCCGGATAGTCAATGTAAATGAAGACTCCATAATAAGTTTTAGACTCAATATTGAGAGGGGGGGGGATTACATAAGATGGGGCGGAGCTGGGAGATCAACTTGCACAAGAGGCCTCTCTCCCTCACCGGAGAGCCTCCTCTTTCCCCCACACACCAGCGGAACTAAAATCACCACCCAATCAATCGCTCACCGCCCGCCAAAATCTGCCCAGCGACCGCCGCCCGCAATATTTTTTTTTTCGTTTGATCTCGACTCCGAAGGCTACCAACTCTGACAATCCATCCCCGGGGTTCCCTTGACGAGTCGCTTTCTGTTACGACTCTATTTCACAGGTGCCCACCATGAAGACGACGTGGAAAGATGTAAGCCATTCCGATAACCCTGGATTCATCCCAGATCGCCTTAGAAATCAGCCGGACTGACATCTCATTTTCACCGCTTGCTCAGATCGCTCCGGTGCCTACGCATCAGGAGTTCTTGGACATCGTCCTCAGTCGCACCCAGAGACAGCTGCCCACTCAGATCCGTGCGGGCTTCAACATCAGCCGTATTCGAGGTCCGTGATTTCTTTTGTTGACTTTGCGACGTTGATCGTCGAGTCGCTGGTTTCCATCGCGGAAGCCGATAGGAAGATGAATTTGGACTAACGGAAATTTCTTTCGATCGATAGGCTTCTACACCAGAAAGGTCAAATACACCCAGGAGACTTTCTGCGAAAAGTTCCAGGCTATTCTCGATGGCTTCCCCAGATTGCAGGACATTCACCCTTTCCGTAAGTTTCGCTACCCGACAGTGCCAGAGAATTTGCCCCTCGGCATTTGAGACTAGTCGGTCAAATAATCTAAACTCCCGTCAGACAAGGATTTGATGAACACCCTTTACGATGCCGACCACTTCAGAATCGCTCTCGGTCAGATTTCGACCGCTAAGCACCTCATTGAGACCGTTTCCCGCGACTACGTTCGTTTGATCAAGTATGCGCAGTCGCTCTTCCAGTGCAAGCAGCTCAAGCGCGCTGCCCTCGGTCGTATGGCCACCATCTGCAAGCGTCTCAAGGACCCCCTCGTCTACCTTGAGCAGGTGCGTCAGCACTTGGGTCGTCTGCCCGCCATCGACCCCAACACCCGCACGCTCCTGATCTGCGGTTACCCCAATGTCGGCAAGTCCAGCTTCTTGCGCAGCA